TTATTAATATTTAATATTCAATTATATTAAAAATAAATAATAAAATAATAATTCTTGAAAACATTTTTCAAAACTTTATTATTTTAATCTATTCTTCCATTTCCTTATTTAATAATCTTATTATTATTTGGATTTGTAATTTAAAATCCAATTTTAAATTCCAACTATTAATTAGTAATTCTATTAATTACTAAATTAATATCCAAAATTCAATTAATCAATCTAATTGATTAATTTAATATATTCCTTTAATTGATATCTAATCAAATTTGTTTTGTCAATTAATTCTAACTCTTTAAAAATACTATTTGAATTTTACCTTCATTCAAAAATTGGTGTGACCTTTTCGGTTCACAATTAATACTAGTAGTGGGTTTACAACTCTTTGTAATTTGAGTTATTCTTATTTCTCTTATTCTTGAATTAACTCTTTAATTCAATAACCCACATATCATGGGAACATCTAGCAAGTAGCATGAATCTAGTATTAAGTGAATAGCGAGTAAACCTATTTCGATTACAAGTCCATACATGTAAAATCCTTTCGACATCCAATTTCCCGATTAAATCTTTGGGTATGATTTTGTTGAAACCCAAATTAATTTAATAACTATGATTCCATTTCAAGTTTAGTAATTCGTTTATGAATCTCTATTCATCCCGCCTGGGTCAAGGACTTTGAATTACTAACTATGAAACACATAAGAAATTCACTTATCTTCATAAGTATCGAATCCTTTGTTGGCCACTGACAAACTTCCATACATATTAATATAATACCCAAAATATCCCTTTATACGATTGTGCTAGCAATCAAAAGTATAAATCAAAGGAAAATATAATATGCACAAAGTTACCATCGTGCCTCAAGTCTAAGGATTAATCATGTACTATTGTAACATGAAAATTCTTATTCGACATGATAAACTTTCATTAAGAATTTTCATACGGTCATGTTCAGTGAACTTTTTCTCTAACAAGCACCCACATATATGTATTTGCGTCCCACGCTAATGTTGATGGAATGCAACATTCTTATCTAATAAGCATACATACTATGTGCAAGTCTTTTTCGGATTTATTCGATATTCCATCTCGAAACATCCAACGACTTGGAACTGTATTTAAGATCACAGCTTTCAAGATATGTTCCATGATCACCATCTCTATGCGCAACCATATCTTATAGCTATAAGTGATCTAGGGATTTTATCTTAAGTGCAAATATATGATAAATACTTAGTCTTAAAATAAAGTAATGCCTTATTATTTAATATAATTCCAATAGATTGTATTTACAAGTAGAATACATCCAAATTGTTTGGAACGCCGGGTATCCTACTCTAACATTGTGCGTCCGTGCTAGTGCGCGACTGCACTCCCTCGCCCGTGGTCGTTGTGCCTATCACCCGGACACCCATGCGCTGGCTATCTTCGCTTGCCCCGCGCGCACTACACTCCAGTGCGCGTACTTCCTCTCCCTCGCTAACCTCTTGCGTGCGTGGTAGGCGCGACTTGCGGCATTCTTGAGCTGCCTAGCCACTTCCGCATCACTCCCATCCCCTTCAAGCTCTTTCTTGTCCTCAAGGATGAAATTCGGGAACTGATCGCGCATCTCATCAAGATCTTCCCACGTGGCTTCTTCAGGTGGCAACTCTTCCCAATCAACTAGTACTTCCCAACAATAGCGCCCTGCTTTCCTTAGTTTGCGATACTCGATCGCACGTTTTGGGCGTACAATGATCCTACCATCGGTTGCGGTTGCTGGAAATTCCTCACAATACTTCTGCGCTTCTCCTAAGCTTCTCTTGAGTTGCGAGACATGAATAACTAGGTGAATCTGCAAACTCTCCGGCAATTCTAGGCGATAAGCTACCTGACCAATGCGCTTCAGAATCTGATAAGGGCCATAGTAGCGTACTCCTAACTTAGTTGCTGCCCTTTGTGCTGTCGTGCAGTTTCTGAATGGTCGTAGCTTCAAATAGACATACTCGCCTGGCGCGTAAGTCTCTTCTCGTCGCTTTTCGTCTACGAAGGCTTTGGTTTGATTAATCGAGCCTTCGAGATTTTTTTTAACTCGCGCAACATCAAGTCTCGCTCCTCGAGTTCTCGACCGACTTCATCGTTAACCGTACCTCCTTCTGAGTAGTTAACAAGTGTTGGCAGTTTACGCCCGTATACCAGCTCAAATTGAGTCATCTTGGTTGATTCGTGGTAGGTGGTATTGTACCAGTATTCAGCCTAGGGCAAAAAGTTTTCCCATCTCTTTGGGAATTGATGGACATAGCACCTAAAGTACTGCTCAAGAGTTCGGTTGGTTACCTCAGTTTGTCCATCAGTTTGGGGATGATATGCTGAGCTCATGGATAGCTTGGTTCCCTGCAGTTTGAAGAATTTAGACCAAAAGTTGCTCATAAAAATCCGATCCCGGTCAGAAACTATAGATCGTGGAGCTCCGTGCAGCTTCATTACGTAAACAAATAGTCTAGCAATTGACTTTGTTGTGTAAGGATGGGTGATGGGTATGAAGTGGGGATACTTCCTAAGTCGATCCACTATGACCATTACACCGTTGAACCCAATAGAACTTGGCAACCCTTCAATGAAATCCATAGTAATGTCCTCCCAAACGACACCAGGTACTAGTAGAGGCTGTAGTAAGCCGCTTGGTCGTCGTGAATCAGCCTTAGTGCGCTGACAGTCGTCGTACCTCGCGATGTAGTCCCAGACCGTGCCTTGCTGTCCTGGCCAAAAGAAGGTATTGGCTATTCTCATCCATGTGCGGTAGATACCCGAGTGTCCTCCAATCTTGGAGTCGTGGAAGTACTGCATGATCTCCTTGCATAGCTGCCCACTGTCGGGGATGAACACTCGGCCTCGATGTAATAAAAGGCCGTTGTGAAGCTCAATATAAGCAATGGTCTCTCCTGCCTCGATCTTCCGGTGCACTTCCTTGCAATAAGTATCCTCTTCTTGCGCCTTTCGAACTTCCTTTCAGATGGTCCATGTTGGTCTAGTGATAGCATCAAGTTCAGCCCTATCTGTCCGGTGAGATAAAGCATCAGCTACAGAATTCTGTCGACCTGGCCAGTAGACTATCTCAAAGTCAAACCCTATAAGCTTCAAGACAAACTTCTGTTGCTCAGAAGTAACGATCCTTTGCTCGAGTAGATGCTTGAGTGGTTGTTGATCGGTCACAATCCGATATCGTCGCCCCAGCAGATAGGGCCTCCAACATCTTACAGCTTCGACAAGAGCTAGAATTTCTTTGACGTACATAGATAGACCCAATCGAGTCGTGCCTAGTGCCTAGTGCCTTGCTGATATAGGCTAAGGGTCACCCTTCCTGCACTAGTACAACTCCAGTTCCAATGTCACTAGCATCTGTGTGTACCTTGAACAAGACATCAAGCCTTGGCATTGCGAGTACTGGTGTTGTAGTCATGGCGCCCTTCAGTTTCTCAAATGCCTCCTCGCTAGCCTTGGTCCATGTGAATCCTCCTTTGTTGGTCATCTCCGTAAGTGGCTTGGCAATAGTTTCATAATCCTTAACAAACTTTCGGTAATAGCCCGTGAGCCCTAGAAACCCTCTCAGTTGCGTGAGACTCGTCGGCTTTGGCCAGTCGACCCTAGCCTCTATCTTTTGTGGATCAATCGTCACGCCATTATGAGATATAAAGTGGCCT